TTTTTTTTTTTTTTTTTTTTATTTTATTGAATGTTTTCACTTGTGTTGTCAACCTAATTGTACACTAGGTTGGCAATGTAACATTACTCTTTGGATAGAGAGAGATGAACGAGTGGGTTAGATTTAATTTGCATTTAATTTGGTTGAAAAATAAGGTAATAATGGTTATAGGTAAAATTCAAATATTTTTGGATTGTTTAGGTTATTTTATAAATAAGAATACATGGAGTATAAAAGTGTAATATAAATCAAACATGATGGTAAGGGGTGCAAATTCCTTCATTATTTTCAACAAATAATATTCATAAGTGCATCTAAATATTAAAAAAAAAAAGTAAAAGTATGATATTTTGTATTAAATGTATTTTTTAATTAAAAAAGTACTAATACAACTCTCGTGTATTACAATGGTGCTTGTTAAAAAATTGTTTTAAAATTTTATAATTAATGAGATTATTTTAAATTTTATTTATTTTTTTACAAAAAATATATATTATTATATATTTTTAAAATGACACTTGTTGCTTGTGCAACTTACATGTGTTATAATATAGTAATTTTTATAACTTATATCATATAATTACTTGAAATATAAATATATTAATTGATAAATAATTTTATCTTTTGAATTAATATTAAAAACTAATTTTATTATTGTTACAAAGATAAACATAATTTATTTGTTTTTATACATACAATATGGATGTCAAGAGATGATTAATTTGATATATTATATATGTAAAACTGCAAAAAACTACAAAAGTTATTAATATTTAAAAATACATCTACAATTCAATAGTTATAATAAGAAAGTGATATTAAAATACAATTAATCAACATATTTATTGATAATCCGGATCTAATTATTTTTGGATTGAAAGTAAATTAAAATCTACCCAAGCATAATAACGAATCATGTAGTTTTGCCACATAGGATCCCGAAATATGCGAGTCTGTCACTTAGACTCAACATGTTTTGATATAATATAAAAGGGATGCTGAATAGGTCTATTTAAATTTCTTGATATGGCTTTAGTAAAAGATGCTGGAGAAAACAACAGATATATGAAGAAGAAAAAAATAAAGTTATATTAAATCACTCCTTCTTTTCCTTCCTTTCTATACTAATAATTAAGTAGCTGTCACCTGTTCTATCATAAATTTCTACCACTTTTTTGTTCTCTAAAATCCTAACTTGAAATGTGTTTGATGTATACCTTTTCATGGGGGTAAAACTGTGAATTTAATAATTTTTATGTTAAGTTTACTTGGCACCTCCAATTGAAGAATGTGATGTGAGTTTCAAATTCTTTTATTTAAGATGATGTTATATATTTTTTTAGAAATGGAGCTGCAAATAATTTGAGTTGAACATTGGTCTGATCAAGTCGAGTTTGATTTTTCTTATTGCTGCTCGAGGTCGATGTTTTGACGCTTGGCTTGAGTAGTAAAAGTCGATACAAATATTTGATATATGCTCGAGCTAGTAAAAAAAATACAAATTTTGATATAGGTTCGAGATCAGCTTGAATTTCTTATAATTTTTTTAATAAAAGATTTTTATTCGAATAAGATTTTTTTTTTTTTAGTTTGACTCGAATCTTGCTTTAAAATTTTCTACGGTCAAGCCATGACACGTGGCACACAGCGACGGCATCATGCATGTAAATAGTATTTTCTAC